CTTCTTTAATGGAACATATGAAGATTCATTTATTCTTTTCAGGGACCAAGTGACTTTATGTTTTACTGTGTTAAGAATGAATGCCTCTGCTTGAACATACTTTCTACATTGTAATTAAAGTTTGTGGTCCAGTTGATATATAACCCCTCTGCTCAGGAGATGTTCAGTAAGTAGTTAATTGACCTAAACATGGTGGGATGGACTAAACTACCCAGTTCTTGAGACAAACAGCATAAAAGTGTTTGATGCATTGTGTCTCTGGCCTCTTCACTAAGTGACCAGGGAGCTGAGGTCTGCTAATCATCAAGGAAAGGGTTTATGAAATGTGAGAACTATTTTCAACAGAGATAGAAGTAAAGTTCATTTTTTAAATTGAGCAAATCTCAAGACATTCTTGTGTTAATTGTTCAAAAACATGACTGTCACACCATAGAGGTCAAAGGGTTTATGAGCTAGAACTAAGGCAGAAAGGGAAGGGACTGGGCCGTCCTCACAGACTTTGACCACAAGACTGCAGCAGTGCTTAATCTGGGGCCATCCTTGAAAAAAATCGTTCGCATAAGCAATGTTCACCATAAATCTTGCTTGGGACGATAACTCCCTGCACAACTTTCTCCCACATGCTCACAAGGACCTGAGCGTGTCCTATTGTAACCCTTGCCTCACTATAATACTAAAATCCTCACCCCAGGTTGGGCTTATCTGCCATTTTTTTGTAGATGCAAATGCAACATATGAAGAAATATATAACTACGCTAAGCTTGCATGGTTAGAGCCCCTCTGTAATCATGCTAATATACCTTTTCTTGGAAGTTACACCTCTTTCCTTATCTGATAAAAGGCTCTAGCTGGCCCCCTTGAAAGACCAAGCCTTGAAGAACTCTTCTTCCTAAGCTCCCTTGTACAAGACCCCAATAAAGCCTTGTCTGGAATCTGTTTGGCCTCTTGCTAATTTCTATTATATGAGACCCTAAGAGCCTGCATTGGTAACAGAACCATTGTGTTGCTTGTCTTTGCTTTAAGAGTGCATTTGTACTTAGCAGATGCCTGGTCTCGATGCAATGCTCATGTGCTCAGATGTATTAAAGTCTGGAGTGGCTCACCCAAGACAATTAGACTTCTGAAAAAGCAAGTCAAAGCCTTACACAAACCAGTCATAGAGACCAGGGGTCCCCAACTCCCGAGCCACGGACCAGTACTAGTCTTTGGCCTGCTAGGAACTGGGTTGCACAGCAGGAGGTAAGCAGCGGGCAAGCGAGTGAAACGTCATCTGTATTTACAACAGCTCTGCATCACACATGTTACTGCCTGAGATACGCTTTCTGTCAGACCAGTACTGTAATTAGATTCTCACAGGAATATGAGTCCTATTGTGAACTGCACATGCGAGGGATCTGGGTTGTGTGTTCCTCATGAGAATCTAATGCCTGATAATCTGAGGTGGAGTTGAGACACTGATGCTAGCACTGGGAAGTGGCTACCCATACAGATGAACATTAACAGTGAGATTTGACTGCACAAAGACCATCATACATTGATTGCTTGCAGACTCATTTCAGAACCCTATCTGTGAATGGTGAAAGAATTGATGCACTTCTGTTGTAAAGCTGCATCTGGGGCAGGCTTTGAGTCAGAATCCAACACTTATTTTAGTCCTATTTAGTGGCTTGTCCATTATTTTATTTACCACTTTTGTCCACATCTTTTTTTATGAGTTATATAATTATTTCATTATATATTACAATGTAATAATATTAGAAATAAAGTGCACAATAAATGTTATGTGTTTGAATCATCCCCAAACTTCCCCCTATCTTAGTCCGTGGAAAAATTTCCTTCCAGAAAACCAGTCCCTGATGCCAAAAAAGTTGGGGACTTCTGCTATAGACTATAATTTACAGAAAGCCTTTAACCAGCTATTTTATGAACTAATAAAACAGGCATCTGAATACTTCTTTGTAACCCCCAAAGTAATGTAGATATTGAGGACACAGAGTAATTCTTGGTTTGAGATTTTCTTATCTCATTTGATGGAGACACCATCTGGAAAGCTATGCAACTAATATGGACATTGTACTAAAGATATCTCTTTATTTAAAAAGAATAAAATATAACAGCAGAATTACAGTCAGTAATATTTACCTTTGTATACTAACTGTAAACTCCACAACTTGAATTATAAAAGCAGAGCCTATAAAAGAGATATTTAAGTGCTATGTCCAATAAATGTCTTTTCCCTGGCTGAGTCCTAATGATACCTACACCATTTTGACTTAAATAGAATGTGGCTAAACAATGCATATTTTTTACATGTGAAGCAGATCATTCCCTGCCACGTGAAATAGCTTATACTCTGTAAAGTTTAGAAATTATTTCTATGACTCTATATAGAAGTAATATATTCAGCAAATATTTATTGAGTGACTTTTCTTAGCCAGGCAGTTTTCTAGACACTGGGGGATACAAGATATAGAGTGAACATCACAGACACTGTTTTGTCCTCATAAAAACAAAATCTAGCAAGAGACACTTAATTTCATATACAATAATAACAAACCCAGAAAAGTCCAATGATTAGAGAAATATCAGGGCTTGGAAGTGTCTAACAGGGACACACAAACTAGTGTGGGAGGGCAGTGAAGGACTCTGGCAGGACATAACATTCAAACTGGGACCTGATGAATGAATAGGAGTTTGCCGCGTGTGGCAGGAGGAAGTGTTTGGATAGAAGAAGGGAATGCAGGCAGAGGAGGGTTTCAGAAGCAGGAACAAACAACATCTCAGAACAGCCCCATGGCAAGAAAGCACATGGCACCTGTGGCTGGGACTTTGCATGTGAAGGGAGAAATGGCAGAAGTTATACCTGGAGAAACAGGGACTGTCATACATGAAAGGGCTCACAAGCCGTGGACTGTGTCCCATGACACACGACATCCTGGGAGATTTTAAGCCAAGTAAGTTCAGACTTTTACTTCAGAGAATCCCTTTGGTTATGAGGTGGGCCATAGTGGGAAAGGAGCCAAAAGGAGTCACTGACTCTATGATGTGGATTGTGAGGACATCAGTTGTAGATGAAAAAGTGTGGGTCTTGTTGAGGAATGAGGAACGAATGATTGCCCATGTGTGTAGGTCTATGGTTTGCCTTTTATCCTTCTGATTGATTTTGTTGAATTCTCTTGGACATTCTGGGATGACTCCCAGTGAAGCCTTGGGTGTGGCAGTTTCCCATGTTGAATTGAGGCTGTGATAACTGAATACTATATTTTGCATTTGTGTTCTTTTTATCCTTTGAAGTACATTTGTCAAATCATCTAAAATGCTCTTGTAAGCCATTCAAACTTTATTTTAAATGTTTATATGTATTCACTAAAGTTTTCTTTATAAGAAATTGATTAGATTTTTTGTTGTTGTTCAAATGCTTCATCCCTCTTGCAGTTTATTTTCTATTCCAGCAAGTATTTTCTTTATCTTGAGAGAACACTTCTCTATGGTTATTGAATAGAGTCGTCCTATCCTGTCATGTCACATCATGCAAACAGTTAAAAGACTGCTCTTCAAAGGCTGAACTAGCTTACATTCCCACCAACAGTGTAGAAGTGTTGCCTTAGCTCCACAGCCTCACCAGCATCTGTTGTTTTTGACTCTAATGATAGCCATCCTTACCGGTGTTAGGTGGTATCTCATTGTGGTCTTGATTTGCGTTTGTGGAAAGCAGTGTGGTGTTTTCTCAAAGAACTAAAAATTGAACTACCATATGATTCACCAATCCTACTTCTCAGAATATACCCAGAGGAACATAAATCACTCTACCAAAAAGACACCTGCACACATATGTTCACTGCAGCACTATTCATAATAGCAAAAACATGGAACCAACTCAGATGCTGATTGAAAGCGAATTGTGTAAAGAAAATGTACACCTACACCATGGAATGCAGTCATAAAGAAGAAAAAAGTCACGTCCCTTACAGCAACATGGGTGCAACTGGAGACCATCATTCAAAGTGAACTATCACAGAAACAAAAAACTGAATACCACATGTTCTCACTCATAAACTGGGAATAACAGACACTGGGCACTACTAAAGGAGGGAGGGAGGGAAGCAGGGAGAGAAGGAAGAAGGATAAGGGGCACACGACCACATACTGGGTACCAGGTCCACTACCTGGGGGACAGAGGGCTCTCTAGAAGCCCAAACCTCACCTGCATACAATTTACTTATGCAGTAAATCCTCACATGGACCCCACAATTCTAAAGTAGATTTAAAAATAAATAAGTAAATAAAATATTGCTCCCTAATGGAGTTATGATCCCTCCTTATTCAATTCACAGCCACTTGTTTATTTCACATTCTAGTTGCATCCAGTTCCATGATGACTTCCATTGAATGATTAGATCATGGATGCAATAGGGTAGTTTGTAAACTCAGGCTTGATCGAACCAAAGATTTTAAGAGGCAAGAACTAGAGTCCTGCTCCATCCCTTGCAGAGTGGTGAATATCTATTTAGAGAGGTGTGTCCTTTGTGATCCTTGAGTAGATCAGAGCAAGTCGATGACAGTTCTGCAGAGCAAAGGAACTGTTTTCATTGCCTTTAATCATTGCTGCCTTGCTTCTGTTCCCAGGGTAACTTTCCTTTGCCCTAGCCTTTTCTACTACCAAAAAATGCCCTCTCTCCTAGCCAAGCAATGATTAACCATTATTTATCAAAAACTAAAATGTATTTCCACTAGTGTAGTCAGTAGAGTTGACTGTGTTTACCAGACTACTGATTTCAAGCCACCAAATTGATAACATGGTGCTCTAAAAATCAGGACACTGTTAGTCAGGCACTGAGTGCTCAGATATGTGGAGATCATTAAGGAATACTTTACACTTAGAAAACAGTCACAGATTTTCCTGTAATTAGATGATTTGTGACTATTTGCAAAACATAAGAATGCAGTTTCCATGGAAGCTATTTAAAAACAACTCATTCAAATAAAATTGTTCTACTCACTTAGCTTTTTCATGCAGTCACGAAGCCGGGTTTCCAAGCTCAGCACCCTCTGATGCAGTTCCTCATAGTCATAGGCACCGATTTCCTCCTGAATCCCAGTGAGAACGGCAGACAGGTTCCGGATTTCCTCCTTGAACTGCGTGATTAACTTGGCATCTGTTTTGTACTGTTCCAGCACAGGGATCAAGGGCAGGAGTTCATCCATCTTCTCCTTCAACTCCTGTGAAAAACAGTCGATTGCTCCTGAGAATCATTTGAAACAGGTCAAGCAGCCATTTTCTTTTTATTATAACACTTAAAGGAGATGATTAGAACAACCTCAAGATTCCTTATTGATTTTTGAAATTAGGTATTATGGGAAAATGTAAGTGGTCACGTGACAATTAATAATAGATCCACTTTTCCAGTTTTTCCATAGAAGAACCTTTTTTTTTTTTTTTTACATGGTTCTGTGCTTTTCTATAAAACAAGCTCCCCATGGTAGTAATTATGGGTTTATGTATCATCTCACTTTCTGGTAGCATTTCACAAAGTGAACAATGCATTATCTAGTTAGGAAATATATGTAGAATCCATCTTCTAATTGTATATTGAGTTTGAATAAAGTGATTGAAAATGGGTCAAATATCCTGTAACTGTCTAGTTAAGTCTAATCACTCCTCTACTAAATAGTCACGTTATAGGAATATATTCAGAAAATTTTGGATTCTGAATCAGCATTTCCCTAACTTATTTTTTCCAGTACGACCATCTGTCACTTTGTTTTACCATTGTGCTCTGGTATCCCTGAGTCTTTTTAATATCCATCTTAGCACAACTCCATTAAGAAGATAAGTTCAGAAAGTAAAATAAATTATGCAAAGCTTCCCAATGCTCAACGAAATGTATGCTGTTGTTTACCATTTTGAATTAATACCTGTGCTCTGACTTCTGTAGTCTTAGTATAGATAATTTAGAGGTCATTATGTAGGGTAGAATAGTTTTTCCACATAGAAGCCAAAAACATATATGAGGGGGACCCCAAAATACCCAGAATTTATTTATTAAAAATTATGTATTTATTCTTACATGTTTAAACTTCAGTCAGCTTCCAAGTACTCTCCATTTGATGTGATACACCTATCGAGACACTTTTTCTGCTGCTGAAAACAGTTTTTGAACTCTCAATTTGATGCCTTTTAGTACTTCTGCTGTTGTTTTTTGTTTCACCCCTTCCACATCGGCAAAACATTTTCCTTTGAGAAATTTTTTCACCCAGGGAATAACAAAAATAGCTGCCTGGGGTGAAATCGGGTGGAGAGGGAGGGTGGGGCACAAGAGTCATGCTGTTTTTGGTCAAAAACTGCTGAACATTCAGTATGGTATGTACAGGTCATTGCCATGGTGGAAGAACCAGTCACCTGTTTGCCACAACTCTGTACATTTCTTCTGCAAATTGTGATGCAACCTTCTCAAAACTTCCAGATAAAAACTTTGGCTGACCTTTCAATCTGGAGGAATAAGTTCCAATTGAACTACAAGGGGGACCACCCTCCAAAAGAAAATTCCATTTTTGGGGGTCCCTCTTCATAGTTAATATGAAGACAAGCTGGTTACACAGAGTTGTTTGAAACTGAGATATTGATCTTCAACAAGGGCACAAGAAGTATGTGTGGGCAAGCAGCATCCCTTATTCCTAGCTATGACAGGACTGAGCCACATCTGTGATTTACCTGCAGTTTTTAGACATGTCACCTTCACTTCTTTCCCTTAAACTTGGTAGTAATGGTCAACAAAAATATTTCAGGGGTTTGATTTAATTGTGAATTTATTGTAGATGATATCATTTGTGAAAAGAGCTGCTCCTCTCATGATTATTTGAAAATAATACATAGGTTCTGTCAGAAACCATGCTGTACACTAAGTAATTTCAGGGGCTGAAGATTGCATTTTTAAATTACATTCAGAAGATGTTATTACTATAAATGCATTTAAATAGCAGGAGCTCCCATTGCTGCCCTGATTTATGGGCTTGTGTTTCTTCAGGGGAAATTTCCACTTACTCTGTGAGTTCAGAATCTTCGATTTGTCTACATGTGCGTGTTGAGTGGGAGGATAAAGAGAATCTTAATAATAAGAACGATTCATAATCATCACAGTCAAAAGGCAGAACTGCACAGCTTTGCTCATTTTATTGTCTCACTTTGAAATAGACCTATTAGTTTGAGTATCGTACGGCATCCTTAAAGCAGGACACAATTGTTTCATCAGGATTTTAATGAGAAGTCTTCTTTTATCACCAATTGCTGCATATCATAAGAACTGTTACAATGAAAGGTTTCACCTTCTACTATGGGCATATCTTAAAAAGAGCAATTCAATGTCAAAATGTAAGTAGCTTTTTCTTCCACACTCAAAAACTAGATATTTATATATTTTTAAATCTTTTCAACAATTCATAATTTGAGTATTGGAATCAATTTTGGAACTCTGGAGACTTGTCAGAGAGCAGTAGACAATACAACCAATAAACATATCAAAAACTTAAAAGATTAAAGTAGAACAGCATAGATTTGTTTGCTAACCCCTTCAAGAATTTTACTTTCTACTATGTTGCTCTTACAGCAAAGGTTGGGCTCATGCCAGTAATTTTGGCCTTAGGAGGCCAAGGCAAGAGGATTGTTTGAGCTCAGAAGTTCAAGACCAGGCTGGACAACCTAGTGAGAACTCATCTCTACAAAAAAACAAAAAATAAGCAGAATGTGGTGGCATGAGCTTATAGTCTCAGCTACTCAGGAAGCTGAAGCAGGAGGATTACCTGAGCCCAGGAGGTCCTTCAGTGAACTGTGATTGTGCCACTGCACTCCAACTAGGGCAACAGAGTGAGATCTTGACTCAAATATTAACACATAAATAAATAAATAATGATAATCTCAAGTATGTAGCTAACATCAACTTTCCATCTGAAAGAGTGTAGAAGGCAAAATCTACTTAGTGTTTTTGATAAGATGAAAATGGTATACTAGAGGAAGACTCTCTTAAGGTATCTTCAATGATCAACTTATTTTTGGGATGTTCTATTTTTTTCTTCTCAAATATGGTACCTCAGTACCTAGAGCAAAATCTGACTCATGGAAGGATTCAATATATAAATGAATCCAACAAATATACATTGAGCACCTAATTACTGTTATTTTTAATTCAGAGAGCTAAAGTCTACTTAGAGAGGCAATGTGGCATTGGTAATAGGGGATATAAGTCTGGAGCTGGTCTTTGTGGGTTTGAATCCTGGCTGTCACGCATATTCAATACATGAACCTGGATAAATTACTCAACCTCTTTGTGCACCAGTTTCCTTATCTGTAAAAAAATGATAAAAATTATGCCTACTTTATGGGATCATTGTGAAGATTATAATTAGTTAATATATTTAAAGTGCTCAGAGCAGTGTCTGGAACATGTATAATTGGGCAGAAAAAATAATTATTGCTATTATCTTTACTGTTATTTGGATTTTGACATATAATTTAATTGGCATATACTTGGACTACATGACCTAGAAAAATCTAAATCGTTATATCTCATGGAGCTTCCTGAAAAATTAAGTTTTCTTATTGATAGCTTGGTTGCTGCTAGGCAGTTTATAGACTAGGAAAATTACTTCTTTATGTTTCTCTCAGCTTTGTAACTTTTTTACTTGTTTTGGTCATCTCCCAAGAGTCCTCAATGATACAAATGATTTATCATACATTCCCTAGCACTCTCAGCTGCTCAGTGGCTTTGCAGAATTCTAACAGAACTGTCCACGTGCAGGAGGCAACCTGAGTTCTTCTGTTTCTGGCATCTTCCTTCTGGGAACTCTCTCCCTGCACAACTGAAGGGCTAGTTTAGTAGTCCCTGCCCTGCTGAGGACCTCAGCGTTGGATTCACATTAGCGTTCTACCATCTATACTCTAACGCTGAAAATCTTTTGGTTTTCATGCTCCTCTATCATTTAGCAGTGAAGGATGGGTCACTAGTCCAAAGCTGCTTTCTTGAATATTGTCAAATGTTACAACTCTACCCCTGGTCTTTTTTTTTTAAACAAAATTAACCTCGTATTCCTTTGTGCTCATGAGTAATACTTATGCCTCCATTTACCATCAATTTGTCTCTCTCGCTCTCTCTTTTTTTTTAGATGTCACACAGTTAATACATTTTTTAAAAACGTATTTTTCTGGATTTTTAGAACAGATTTTGGCTTGTATTTTATTTATTTATTTTGGTAATTTATGTCAATAGCTTTATTTATTTTGGTAATTTATGTCAATAGCTTTATTTTGGTAATTTATGTCAATAACCAAAACAAATGGGTTTTGGTTATATGGCTGCATTGTACAACAGTGAAAAAGTCTGGGTTTGGGTGCACTCACCACTCCCATCTGTGCTCACTGTACCCGGCAGGTGATTTTTCATCTCTCCCTTCCTTCCCATTCTCCTCCTTCTGAGTTTCTGATGTCCGTGAGAGCATCCTCTTTGCCTCTGCCAATCCTTAGCTTAACTTCCACTCACAAATGAGAACATGCTCAGCATCAATTTCACTTACCTATTAGATTATGTAATACATCCAGCGGAGGGCTCAGCACTGCCTTGCACATGCTACATGCTCCACAAATACTGGTTAACATTAATTCTTTTGCTCCTCCATCTTGTATTCTGTGTTTACCATTTCCGCATAAATTCTCTATTCACCCAGTTTACTCATGTTCACATTTCCAATAATCTTTTAACTCATTGTACCTTCTAGGTCTTCCTCTAATTTGCCCTAATTTCTTAACCTCTTGGCATTACTTAAACCTCATGATTTGCCACTTATCTCTACCGTCTCTTGTCAACATCCTTAACTGTCTTGCCCTTTTATTCCTTCTGTGTTGGCCTGATGGTAAAACTTTAAAACCAGTTCAGTGTAAGAATTTCTTCCTCACTTCCCTACTCAGTGGTCTCCTGACCACCACTGAAGAAAATTACAAAGCCATGAAGTTTTCTGCCATATTAAAATGTGTTCTGCAGAGACCCTGTTACATGTTCCTGACTCGCTTTCCAACTGTTAGCATCACATGCAGAAAGCACTTCCTTCCTTGACCAAGTGCTTGAATTCAGGCCTACTCCTCAACATCAGCAGTGACTCGCACTTCCTAGCTGACAGGGAAAACAGAGGCCATTACCTGGGCAACTACAGTGCGATTTATAAACTATGTGATATGCCTTTATGAGGCAGATGATTTATTTTTAATAGAAGCTCAAATGGCATTATCGGACCAATTTTTTTCTTAAAATTCATGATTTTCAAACTTAGTTAAAAAAAACTGATAGCGTGAGTTCTTTTATGTTTCTAGAAAATTGGCAACATAACACCTAAAATCTAGAAAAATACTTCATTTGTATGAAAGCATGAAACAACGATCTTTCTATATGCTCTTTTTGATGGCATTATTGTCTCTTTTAAGTAATCATGTCATCTATATTCCTCCTCATATTAGCAGGGCATAAAGTCATCAGAAACACATTTGTAATTTCATTATTAATTTTCTTTAGGGTTTCCCCTTGTCTTAGAGATGGAAGTGCCTGAAAATCTAACCAGAAACTCCACCTGGCTCCAGAAGGATGAGGCTCTTGTTAGAGCAAGTCTTCCATGCATTCTTACCAGCTAATGGTCAGTTTCAGTGGAAAGATAATTGAAATCACCAAATTGCCCATTTGGGCCAATGTTCTGTTATTTCAGGCTGAGAGCCCTGATGACTGTCCATCCCACTCTGTCTCATTTGGATTAACAAGATGGTGGAACTCAAGCCTACCTGAAAGTGTTTGGTCATTAGTGTCTTCCGGTCATCTTCAATCTGCCGAAACTTTGCCTTCAGCCCTTTCATTTGGGTTTCCATTTTTAAAACATATTGAAAATCTCTCTGAGTTCTCAAGTTTAAGACCTCAATGGACTGGGACATGTTCTGAACCTGTTAAACAAAAATATTGTCTGTATATTATTGTCTATTTACAGGAGTATGCAGGTGCCACAGTGGTAGCAATAATGGCATTCACATAAAGAACCGAAAGTGCGAAATTCACATCTGCATTTCCACACAACACATTTTCATAAGAATAATTCATCATGATAACAAAGAATTCAACAAGAGAAAATTATACCTAGACAGGAAATTAAAACACAGGCATTCTAGCATTAGAAATGACTGAACATCAATGAGTTTAATATATTAAAATTGTCTTAAAAATAGAATTTCCATTTCAAGGCTCTGCAAGCTTCTAACACCTCAGCCTGTTAAATGTCAACATAAGTTGTTTCTGTAAGTTCTAATTCTGACTTCTTAAAGATCTAGGCTGCTTAGCAATTGTGGATGGAAAGGAAGTGTGCTACAGACCTAGAATGCATTCATTCATTCCAGTGCAGTTATTTTGTGATGGGTTTAATGTACTCCCAGGGGTGAGACTGGGTTGACCAAGACAAGTGGTGGCTGTGCAGGAACACCTGCTAAATTGAATCGCATACTTTCTGAGGGACCTGGAAAATGGCAAATGTATCAAGTGCTGGAACACATGTTATGCTGATGGCACCATCCCAGGTTCATCGAGCCCTGGACTATTTAGCGGGAGAAAAGAAGTGACCTATAAAGCTGCAGAAATGGCAGGGGAGGAAAGCTTCTCTAATTTTTGTGGCAACAAAAACCTGAAAACAAACTGAAAACTTCTAATAATAAGGGAGATATTTAATCGACTGAGGAATGGAATATGAATAATCTATTACAAAGAATAAGAGATCTCTGTACCATGAATACTCAAAGAAACAACTTTGGCATCACTTGGGATCTTGTCAGAAATGCAAACTCTCAGGACCCGTTAGAGTTACTGAAACAAAATCTTTATTTTATCAAGATCCCCAAGCAATTCTCATGTCTATCAAAGTTTGAGAAGTACTGCTCACCATGGAAAGATTTCCATGAAAAAGTCAATGTGAAAAACTTTATCTAATTTGGTCCTTTGATTCTAAATCAAATACACACACACACACACACACACACACACACACACACACACACACAATAATAAAAAATAGAAGTCAAAAAATCAAGAAGAAAGGTATAGAAGAATTAGAATACGTATTAAGTTGTTAACATGTTTTCTAGAGGAAGGTAAGAAATAAGAATTATAGGGCCGGGTGGCTCAAGCCTGTAATCCCAGCACCTAGGAAGGCTGAGGTAAGAAGATTGCCTGAACTCAGAAGTTCAAGATCAGCCTAGGCAACATGGCGAGACCTTGTCTTTACAATAAATCAGAAAATGAGATGGGCATGGTGGCATGCACCTGTAGTTCCAGCTACTTGGAAGGCTGAGGCAGAAGGATTGCCTGAGCCCAGCAGGTCGAGGCTGCAGTGATCACAAGTGTGCCACTACACTCTAGCCTGGGTGACAGCATGAGACTCCAACTCAAAAAAAAAAAAAAAAAAGAAGAAATATTATAGAATCATATACTTTATTTTCATAAATGAATATATGAAAATATGAGCAAGAAAAAATAATGCTGGAATTTCAGATGTTTTACTTTGTTTATATATTTCAAGGTTATTCTATTTATTTTGTAATGAACATGTATTATTTATGCAATGAACAAAAAGTTATTTTCATGGAAAAAATGGTGAAGTACAAAGGGATGATTAGTTCAGAAAGAATGTTTGCTACCAGATAAAGTTACAAAGTGTAGTGGACTAGCCAGCTGTAAAAAGCACACGGCTGACACGTTCCTCAAAAAAGGCACTGAAGACTGCCTGGGCCTGCCTATGTTCTTCCACATTTTTGGATAGACAAGGTTAATTTTCATTTTACTTTTTCCTCTGCTGTCTTGAGTCACAGTCCTATTCTATGTGAATTCTGTCTTTTTAGGACATATCACAAACTGGCTTATGTTAAAACTAATTGTTCAATGCAGTTTTGGGGTGGGGCAGGACTGTAGCTTTCCTTCTGTGAGCTACATGAGATTAGAAGCTGTGTCTAACTCAGGACATTTCTTCCACAAATCGTGACGTAACCTTCTCAAAACGTCCAGATAAAAACTTCTGAGGCCACCAGGCTACAAGGAAACTCAAGCTGGCAATGTAGAAAGACCAAATAAAGAAAGAGATAGATGGCAGGCCAGCCTCGAGCTTTTCCTACCTTTCCACTGGAAGTGCCAGAAATATAAATGAAAAAGCCATCTGGTACATCTAACCCATTCGAGCTTACAGATAACTGTAACCTTAACATCATCTAACAGAGTCTCTCCCAGGAGTAAGGATCCAGAAGAGCCCAGTTAACTCACAAAATTGGGTGAGAAAACAATAAATTGTTATTTTAATCCATTAAATTTTAGGGTGGTTTGTTTCACAGCAATAGATAACCAAAATACTATAATTATTAAAAAGAAATGTTATATCAAAGGATTAAAATTCTAAAAAATAACTAACAGATGGCATTTTAAAAATATTATTAACCATCAAAAAGAACAAAAATGTTGAAGAATGTCTGATCCCAGGGCTGGAGAGAAAATATAAAAGGTGAATTTGGAAAATTCTTGTCTAGAAAACAATAAATTGTTTTTTAAAACTATTTGGTTGGTATCAAAAATATTCATGAGCTAACTTCAAAAGGATACCACCACTCAGAAATAGAATACATTGAACATCAATAGGAATGTTGACTGTAACAGTTTGAAACACATCTAATTTTTTAATGCTTTAATAAACAAAACAAATTTTTACAAAAAAAGAAGCAGCTTTGTCTTATTTGTATGTTTTCTTTCCAAAACCTTACAAAGAACCAGGCACAGGATATGGGCTCCATAAATATTAAGTCAAATTATATTGGGTTTCTAATAGTAATAATGAGCAATTAAAAGTTTAATTTTTTTTTTTGAGTTGGAGTCTCACTCTGTCGCCTAGACTGGAGTGCAGTGGCACGATCCCGACCACCGCAGCCTCGACTTGCTGGGTTCCAGCGATCCTTCCGCCTCAGCCTTCCAAGTAGTGGGAACTACAGGTACGCGCTACAACGTACAGCTAATTTTTTATTTATTGTAGAGATGAGGTCTCGCCAAGTTGCCCAGGTGGGTCTCGAACCTGCAGGCTCAGGCAATCCATTCACCTCGGCCAAAGCTCTGGGATTACAGGCTGAGCCACCAAGCCTGGCCAAAAGTTTAATATTTTAACAAGAGATTTTCTTCTCATGTCACTGGTTAAGCCATAGTATTACAAGACTATCAAATATTTCTTAATTTACTATCCTCATTACATTCAGAAAGCTTTATTTTGTTAAATCTTCAGTGTAGCTCAAAAATCACTAAGGCAACTTTGAAAGCATGGTAATTCCATCATGGATAAATGCAAGGCTTTCAGCATAATTGTCTAGATTCACTTTTGGTTAAGCATAAATAAATAAAAGCTATTTAAGTTAAAGAAACTGTCTACTCATTTAAATATGGCATTTGTCTGTGAAGGCACCCATCATCAGCACTGATGACATCCTTCTAAAAATTCTGTGTTCCTAAGCAGAGTCCATACAATTAGAAAATTGTGGGTATTCTGGATAGAATTAAAATAGCCTCTCTTTTATCTTTGCCTCTGACTTGCCCTATCAAGTTAATTTTCCACTTCATTTGTGTTGTGGGAAGATGCACTAAGATCATTTCTGCCGAAACTTGATTGTGACCGTCTGCCCTTCAGAATCACATGCAATGATAAGAACTATACTTGGAACCATGGCTAGAGGTAGAGCTGTCTACTTGGAGGGGATGCGGCTCTGGGCTGTCTTATGTGTTTCCTGCTGGTTGTACCTAAGATTGCTTAGTTTCCTACTGGCCAGAAGAGTCACTGAGCATGAATTTCCTGATGATACAGGAGACTGAACATCTATGATGACACTTGTAGGAAAGCGTCTTGTCCGCTGTTTCCTTCTTGTCTCTGACATTCTGCGATTTGGCTTTCTATACAAGTCCTGGTGCTTATACCCTCTCTACACACCAGTAGTTTGACAACCTCTTTGACTCTCTTCACTGATCATTCTTGTGAATGTTTTATATATCATGGTTCTTTGTATAAGTAGAATGTCTGAACTTAAACACACATTAACATAAGATTTTCATTGTCATTCATAATTAATGTGGACATTACTTGAAAAAAAAAAGTTCTATGGTTCAATGTGTTTGAATAGCCTTGGGTTTGACAAATATAAACAGAGATTTCTTGGCTGTGGGACTTCACAGAACCTTTAGTATTAAACTGCTTTTTGGAAATCTTCAAGAGTCAAGTAGCATATACAGTGTTTCTTAAATTTATTTTATTGGTGAGGATGTTGCCAATATCCTATTCAAAAAATCATACTTGAGGAAATATTGACCTAGACACAGCAGACCATCTTAAACTGTACAGAGAACCTACCTCACTAACAAACAAAAATATCGTTTTAGATGAACAATTTTAGTTTCGGCATACTAAGACCTGAAATATTGTAAAACCAATGATATATTTTTCTAATATGCCGTGATATGAGTGCTTGTCAAAAATGTTTGATGGAACATCACTTAGATAAGGTAGACACAGCAACAGTATTTTGCATGACTCTGTTATGGTGTTGAAAAGATGCAAACTGATGTTACAGCCCACAACTTACTGGTTGAGTGACACTGGAAGGTTTTTAATATTAAAAAAACTAGTCTTTTTGTAAAATAAAATGTAAAGCTATCTCTTCTGTAAGAAGTGAATGGAGTGGAAAAAATATAGTATGAAAATATAATAATAATGGAAATTACTGTTATTCATATTATTCTTATTAATAATATTCCCCTCTATATGACTAAATCAATCCTTTTGGCCAACAGTGGTACCTTGATTCTATAAGAAACTATGGAGAAGTCAGGGAGGGAACTGGCTCAGTCTGAAATAGAATGCTCATGCCAGATGTGTGTACTTCACGTCACTGCAGCAGGGTTACCCAACTCCCTCAGGTCACCGTAAGACTGCACACAATTTACAATTCCTCTGTTGGCCTAACATGACTGTATGATTAATTTAATAACTCTAACTTGTGGTAACAATTGTGTTAATATATTTTATTTGCTTTTATCATTTAGGTTTTCCTGAATTTTTAAAAATGTGACTTTCTAGAATTTCTTTAAAACATTCAGAAAAATTACGTATTAGATGCAATGTAGTGGTCATATTAATTCCCATGATTGCTTTCAGCCAACCTCCTGTTCATGCTTTTTTGCTTTATGAAGCTCATTAATTTCTAGTTTTATCATAGCTCTGAAATACATTTTACTTTGAACCTGTAGAGGGACTTATTCACTTTCTAACATCGATATTTTATTTGAATTTTTCACCTGACTTTTGAAGACATGTTTGAATTTGTGTGTGGGTGTGTGGGTGTGTGTATGCGATACTACATTAAAAAATAGTAACACAAGATGAAGTGTGGTGTCTAAGAAATTTCTCACCATAGTTGATGGAGCAAAAAGCTATTTCTGTGTAGAAAAGGAGATTGGTGCAGAATGTCAATAATCTGAGGGAATAGAACAATTTAATAGGAAAGCAAAGTTGGATGTAAAATATTGAATCTTTTTACTAAATAGGACCAAACTATATATTTGAAATTTTAAAAATAGAAATAAAGAAAATCAAGAATGGAAAATCATACCCAAGAATAATCATAATTGATGTGTCATTGCTTTTTTTTTTTTTGAGTCGGGATCTCGCTCTGTTGTCCAGGCAGGAGTGCAGTGGCATGATCATGTTTCATTGCAGCCTCAACCCCCTGGGTTCAAGCGACTCTTCTACCCCAGCCTCCTAAGTAGCTGGGACTACAGGCATACACCATGATGCCTGGCTACTTTTTTTAATTTTTGTAGAGACGAGATCTCACTACGTTGCCCAGGTTTTTCTTGAACTTCTGGGCTCAAGCAGCCCCCCTGTCTCAGCCTCCCATAATCTACCTGCCTCAGTCTCCCAAAGTGCTGAGATTATAGGAAT